TGCAGCCAGTCCGTTCGCCGAGATTCCAGCCATGCGCCGAACTACCAGTGTTCAACGACTTTACCGCTCGGTCGCTGGTAGGCCAGCTTTACAAGGACTTTAACATGTTTTACCCAAACTGATAGGAATTCCAATTCTTTTGCACGTAATTATCCCCAAAACTGAAAAAGCCCCTTTTCTTCTCCAAAGTTAAAATTAGCCAAAACGTGACAATTTAGATCATTATTATTTTTTAAAAAATAAACTTTTTTCATAATAAAATATTTTCTTTTTTTAAAATTTTATTCCAAAACATGCTGTTTCGTATTAGCAGAAAATATTGTCGCCAGCCTGTCTTCGTCAGAGGAAAATGTTTACGAGTAACGCAGGTGGTAAGCGGCGCTGAATTCGTCTGCGAAAAAGGTCTTTTCAGTTGACCTTTCTTTTTCATTTGTTTAATTTCTTTTTTAATTTTTCAATGACCATTCTTTTCATTTGTTTAATTTCTTTTATACATCGTTTTATATTTATTATACTATTTGAATACAACATGCGGCAACGATTGGATAATTGCTTCAGATCATAAAAGTTTTGTGCATTCTGAGATATGTGATTGAGATGTAACGCTGTTAAGTGAACCTAGTGCCCACGTGTCGCTCTGGTAAATAATATAGTGGGTTTTAAAGAGTGCATCATTTCTATAATATGTGTAGTATTATTTTATTGTGGTTTATGAGCTATCGACGACAAGATTAAATCCAGTTCAATTAACGTGCCTTCTGAAATCTAACACAAATAAACATTCTTTTTCTCTGCCATTTGGTTGACATTCAAACTGAAGTTTAAGCCACAGTAAGCATATTGTTAGTAGTAACTTAATAGCGCGTCCTCCTTTCAGAGGTGACGGCTCACCAGCCGACGAGCGCTAAAATCGTTGAACACTTGTAGTTTAGACGTGGGATCGATTCCTGGCGAACGGACTGGCTACATGGGTACTTCCTATGTGCGTTTAATGCGTATACGGGGCAATTTCTTTAGGCGATCCTACACGAGGTACCTCTCCTCAGGCAAATAGTTCTCGAATGCTTTCCCGTAATCAAATAAACCAAACCAAATCTTTCACAGGTAACAGTCAGTTAAGCAATGTTTGTATTAAGGTGTTTTTTACATTTTAGAATTTTGATTTTTAATGACATATCCAAACTGTGCATATATATATATATCAAAATTATGAAACTGTTAATTATTAAATGCATCTTTCTGCACGCAGTTTTTATGTTTCGTTCACGTGTTTTTTTATAAATTGTAATTTTCCTCTATTTATTTATTTTAAAATTTGTATCGTTTGGCTGATAGTTAATATAACGTGTATATAACAGACCCCCCAATCATCCAGAATTTCAATTATCCTGATTCATTCTATCCAATGTCCATCGCGCTAAAGTAGGCAGGCGCTAAAGTCGCTGAACACTGGTAGTTCGGTTTGAGGTTCGAGTCCCGACGAAAGCGCTGGCTACATGAACGTTCCCCATGTATAACGTGTATACGAGCCATTTTCCTTTAGAAAGTCATTCACGAACTCATTCCTTCCTTTAGACAGTTTAGTTAGTTATTATGACAAAGCACACTAGGGCTACCTGTCAAAGGAAGGGGTGCCTTTGTGGAGGACTTTCTAAGGGAATTGGTTCGTATACAGAGGGATTGGGATTATTCAATTATGGCAAAGCTCACGAGGGCTATCTGCTTAAAGGGAGAGATGCCTTCGTAGATGACTTTCTAAGGAAAACTGGCTCGTATACACGTTGCACATGGGGAAAACCACGAAAACGCCCATGCAGCCAGCTCGTTCGCGTGATTCGAACCTCGGACCGAACTACCAGTGTTCAGCGTCTTTACCGCTCGGCCGCTGGTGAGCCCATTACACAGAGGGAAAACCACGAATACGTCCATGTAGACAGTCTCGAAAGCAACTTAGAACTATCAGAGCTCAGCAATTTTACCGCTGGACCTTCTTAGATAGCGTTCGTGTGCTTTCCCATAATAAAATAAACCAAACCACTTTAAAATAGAAATAATGCCTAACTACTGAAGGGATAGTGCCCACATACCCCGTTACTTGTTATCTGATAAAATGGATTCATTTTGTTATAGGTAAACACGCACCAGATAGTTTTCACTAGAAAGATATATATATAAATTGATTTGCAGCAAGAAAACAATATTTTTTTCATCAGTTCATTTGGATTCTGGTAACATTTCTCACAAGAAATGTATCTCTTAGAATAATTATTTCAGTAAATGAAGAATGAAATACAATGACGTAGATTAAGAACTTTTTTATTTAGGATTTTTAAAAACGAGAACGCTTTTAGAAAAGATTAGAACAACACATATACGTGTATTATCTTTTAACCGTAAAGATCATGGAATATTAATTTTTTATGTCAGGCTGAAAATTAAATATATATATTAAACAGAGAGAGAGAGAAAAGAATTCATACGTATTATCAAGTCGACCGTGAATGGAACATCATCTTAAAATATTTTCTTTGCTACCTAGCGCCACTTTACTCTGTTCAAGATTCACCGAGACTCCATTTCACACGAAATATGTTCAATATAATTTTTTCTTATCTAAGTTTTAAAAGGTTCAAAAATGGGACAATACTTTGAAAATGTTTATGCTGTAGCTTAACAATGTTTTATCTGATTGACATAGTTACGTGAAAACTTTGCATCTTAAAAGATTTTGCACAGATTTCATGAATCAAAGAATTCAGATCGTCATTTGCGATAACTATTTATATATTACCTTTCGTTATATTTCTGTTCGAATATAAAATCCAGGGCAAAGTGATCATTCCATTCATTACAAACACACATATAAATTTTATTTACATATATTATTGTACTTTTACTACCGTAATGATTAGGCCTTCCGTCTTGTTAGGCTTTTATCACCACCTGTTCTTCCATGCTAAAGTTATCGAATGACTCCAGAAACAAGACGCTCGAAGCGCCATCTAATGGCGGGGGCTATCGATTCCTTTCTGGTTCTGAAGATATCTTTTTCTCAGCCGTCTTTTGGTGCTAGTTCTAAAGTTGTTCTAAATTTTCTTGTTGAACTTATTTTCATTTTCTTGCAGTTAAATCTTCCATGCCTTTATTGTTAACTTCCGAGTGTCTAGTTTTGCCTAGAAACACAATATCATACATGGAAAAGAATTAATTATAAGTATCAGAGTTTTCAATATTAAGTGTTACAAAATCAACACAGTCTGGCCAAAACTCATTCCAGTGTGAATGCATAGTTTGAAATCCTGTATGTAGCTTGCTGTCAGGCATTTTAATAAAATTTAAGCAGAGGAAAATATTAAAATAACGTTTTCAGTTGTCAATTAACATTAAGTCTGCGTCATAGGTTACTTCGAAACATTGTCGAAATCATTTATTGTCATTCATCACTTGAGACATTTTATGATCAGATAATTTCTTCATGAAGCAAATTTTTCATGCTAAGAGACATTCGTGATCAAAAGTTTCACTGCATCAGAAATCATCCCTGTTTGAAAAACTCAGTCATCATAAGAATTACGTTTAAATTATTAATAAATGTAAGATAATTTAAAAACGCTGCATGTCTTTTATCTCGATGACATCATTTTCCCCTGTCTATAAACCTTTTCCCGTTAGCTCTTAGTTTAAATATCAAAACGTGGATTAGGCTAGTTTCACTGATAAAGAAACTCCATGGCTGTCTGCCTATCGGAAGGGATGCTTTCTTGGAGGAAATTTTAAGGGAAATTGCCCAAGTATCCACCTTACGCATGGGAGAAGCCACGAAAAATTCGAGGTAGCTAGCTCTTTCGCAGGGATTCGAACTCGGATCAAGCTACCAGTGTTCAGAGTTTATCGCTGGCTTTCTGATGGGCTTAAATAGTAAAAGATGAATATCATACGGACGTCAGATGCATGCAACGGTTGTAATTGCTTAGATATTACATATAAATGAAGCACTGAGCGGCTTACTGAATCAGGAATAAGAATACTTCTGTGTTTTCGAAGCCTTTCTTAAACGTTCCGGCTTTCATTCCAAGAAATAATAAATTTGTTCATCAGGGTCTTGAAGTTACATTCAAATGTGATCGTTACTGTTGATTAAATTGTTCCAAGAAGATATTAAAAACAATTTATTTTGAACAACTTATCAAATTTGTGCGGAATTTTAACATTTTAAAATTGAAAATTGTAAGAGTTCTTTAGCTACAAGGAATGTAGTCAGCATTCCTCAGGAAGGTATTACCTTGCAAAACCCAGTGTATGTGTTTTTATTCAGAAGAATATATTAAAAATCAGTTTTACTTGTTCCAATTATTACGGATCCAACCATTTGGCGCAACCACACAGACGCAACCATCTTCTCGCAATTTGGCAATTTTTTATAGATGAGAAGGTAGTATTTACATATCGGGTGCAAGTTGGTGATTTTCGAGCCTTTTGCTTAGAAAAATTCCCAAACTATCGGTATTTATAACAAGTCCGTAAACATATCACAATTTGTTTAAAAAACACAAAAGAGGCAGCGTTGTTTGACTGAAGGATTATAATGAGCGTAGTTGCCGGAAAAATGATTAAGCGCATGATTGACAGAGTTAGGCACATTCTGAAAATTTGGCGCTTCTACTAAGGTGGTTACGTTAATTAATAAGTACCTAAATTAATTGTAATAAAGTAATTAATTGTAATAAAGTTAGTATTATTAAATGAATTCAGGAAAACACATGGGCACTGAGTGCTTTTTCCATGTTCTGTTTGCGGATTGTTGTTTACAGATTGCAGAATTTTTTGGTTTCTTCATAGTAAATAAAACCAATTGATTGTTGCACTTTTTTGTTTCCAATGTCTGATTTTAAATAAGACTAGTAGTATTTACATTAAGTGTGAATATTACTAAAAAAACTTACTAACTGCAAATTAAAAATTTGAAAATTTAAAATGTTCATTAATACTTTATTTCCCAGCATGAATCGCCCAACATTGCGAAGATCTGAGCGCTTAGCAAACCGTCGAACGGCCGTCAGACACAAAGATTTACAGGTCCCGAAGCGTACGCATCGCAGGCGAGCAATGAACAGGACCTTATTCGAAGGACAACTGAATCAAAGTACCGCCAGTGACAGGCAACAGGGTAGAAGCTTAGCTGGGCAAGAGTTGAGAGGTGGCATCCGCGATGTCAGAGAGCAACAGCGACAGGATGAGCAACAGCCAGCTGAGCAGCAGCAAAGCGCTGAAGTTGCATATGTTAGACAACATACTGCAAGCGCAGCCCAGCAACAGGACAGAAGCATAGATGGGCAACAACAAAGAGATGAAATCCCACGTATTGGAGAGCAGACTGATAGTAGAAATGAGCAGAGCGATGAAGTCACGATCATTGGACAACAGATTGCAGACGATAATGATGTTATTTATATGTATACAGTCGACCACCAGAATGGGAGAATAGTCGAAATCGTTGACCTTGCTGAAGAGAATCAGGTAAAAATGTTCAGTCTGTTATAATTTTAGAATACTTTTAGCCTGCACATTAATAGCATTAATTAATTAAAGCATGCAATTCGTTTTGAGAAAATTGTAGTTTAAAATTTATTTGTAGTGATTTTCATATTCTATAATATTCATCTCCTTTTCGAAACAGTATTAATCAACGAAAACTTACGTATTAAATTCATATAAGTACATCAAAAACTCAGATTCGTGGTTCACAGTATCAACACAATAGTTATTGTATAAAATATGCCACGTAATTTATAATTTCGGAAACAGATATAATACTTCTAAGATAATGCATGGAACTGGAAATAAAACCGAAAGCTTTCAGATTTTTTATTACGCTCAAAGGGGCGTTATTTTAACATTTTGTGTGTTACCTTTATTTCTTAAATATCACGTTCTTCGCACTTAAACCATACAATACAGTTCAAAAGCAATATCGCAAAATAGTTTTAAATTGAGCATATCCTTTAGATACAGAGAGGAGATTAATTTTTTCTTCTGTACAACGTTGCCATTGCTGGCTTTGAAATCCTTGAAATTGTTAATGAAAAATTCGTTAAATTTTTACAAAATATGAAATAGACCATAAAACAAATTTCAAGTTTGTGCTTCTAGATGCCCATATTCGAGTAGAAGACTACGTTATTCAAAATTGGATGTCTCTAGGTGCCGTTGTTGTCTCGCAGTGCGAAAAACATACATGCGTTCATGCAGATTATTTAATTTCTTTAAATATAACGCAGCGTGGCAACAAATTGAAAAGTGAAACGCCGTTTATAGTGAACCAACACAAAATGCCAGAACGAAATTAATAGCCTTTCTGTGCAAATACCCCTATGGGCTAACAAGTCAGTCAAATATTTTTAATATTCTCAACGTATTTAGCATATTTGATATATTATATTTTAGCACTTTTTCCCCTTTAGCATATTTGATATATTAAATTTTAGCACTTTTCCTTCCTCGTACAGATAGATTAATAATTTCTTCCATGATAAAGTTTTGGAAGTTTTTAAAAATACGCATAATTTTCTAATTAAAGGTTTAGGTTAGTGTGGGCAAGTGAGAAGATATAAGAAGTTCACTGAATAATCTTCCGAGGGTTTTTGATAATGCTCATTTTACACGCATTGCATTAAAATCTCATACGCAGCGACTGAACATCTTGGGAGGGTTAAAGTTGCATGCAAGAATACTCTTAGTATTTGTTTACTGCTACTTTATTATGCGAGAATAAGCTCCCACGCAATATTTCGTGTTTGAGTTACGTTGTGAATATTAGTCTTCTGGTGAATTTAAAATTTTGTTTAGGCTTTCCAAAGGTATTTTTTATTCCTTTAAATATTTTTGAATACACTAGTCATCACAATTATAGAAGAATATGCTGACTAAGTTGATGTTGCAACCAATACTGTAATATTACGAAATGCCCAGTATTATTAATGCTGTAATATTAAGTAAATACAATTGAACAAAAAATTCCACTTCCGAGGATTTGTTAGCGCCGGAAATATGCAAATTCGGTGACTGACAATGTGTCGCGCAAGGGACGCATGTTGAAATTTCGGTTCGTAGTATTGTTTAGAGTAAATGTGGTTTCTGAAAGTGATCAGTGTTCAGTAGTATATTGTGGCTCATTTAAGGCATCATTTAAGTAAAGGTCAAAAGTGGCGAATAATGGGTAGAATCCAGAGAGGTCAAAACAAATGGCGGTCGCTTAAGATTTGCATATCCCTCAGTGTCATATCAATGCCACTTTTTAAACACTCGATCAGTTGATAGACAGTCTTGTCGAGGACGACCAGGAGCAATAATTTCATCAGAAGAGAGTTTTCTGTCGTTGTTGGCTTGAAACCGCGAAGCGACTACAAGAAATTGGATTGATGCCACAGAAATTCGAATCAGCCGTTCTACTGCTGAATGAAGGCTTAACGATTGTTTGAATATCACAAAGCCACGAGGATTACCTACGTAAGGAAAGGGATGCCTTGGGGAGGACTTTTTGAAACTGGCTCGTATTCACGTTAGACATGGCGAAAAACAACCAAGCAGCCAGCTCGTTCTCCTGGGATTGAATCTAAACCAGGTCGAACTACCAGTATTTAGCGGTCTTAAACATTCGGCCACTGGTGGGGCCTTAATGAGGTTGGACTGCATGCGAGAAAATCAGTGTTTTGTGTCCCACTCAATCCAGCTTCCAGAGGGACCCGTTTAAACTGGTGCCGTCGTCATGTTCAATGGAAACAAAACGACAGGGCTCTATAGTTTACTTACACGAGTCCAGATACATTCTGAACAGAGATTCTAGATATGTTTTGATCTAGAGAGAGGAAAGAACGCAACTTGCCTTCCCTGGTCCCTGAAATATCCTGTTTCCGCGACCGCGGTTTCATGGTTTGGGAAGGGATCAGGACAAATGGCTGCACCGAGCTGCATACCTTTCAAGAAGGTTCTGTTGCTGCTTGGAGATATGTGGACGACGTACTGGAACCACAAGTTAGACTGCTGGTACTGTCCCAGAGGTTTTGCTAATGGATGGTAATGCTCGGCCTCTATGTGAAGTTAGAATACTTGCAAACAGAAGGTATCACTCTCCCCGAATGGATTGGCCACCTTACTCACACAATTTGAGCTCGATTGAGCTTGTTTCCTTAGGCGGCGAATTGCAGCGCGCCAAATTCTTATCCGGATCCTCCAGGAGCTGAAAAGTTCACTTTTAGAAGATTGGCGTGAAATTCCACAAGACAATGATCAACACTTAAAGTCTGGGAAATTAAGATGTGAGGTATGCATATCTGTCTGAGGTGATATACCATATTAAAGAAAAATTGTTTCCATTATTTTCCGATTTCCCTAAATTTTGTTTTAGTTTCAGTATTTGGGAATAATCAACTGCCAAACATTGTAATTTATGTTAACTAATGCTTTTGTACAAATTTCTATTAATAATTTTAATTAAGTATCAGTTACCCTTTATTTCTGTCATTATCCTTTAATTTTGATGACCAGCGTACATTATTTACGCTTATATTACAATTTATTAGGGTATTATTTTGGTATTAATTATCGAAATTCTGACAGAAAATTTTCAACTCAAAATGTTACACTATATCGGCATCTGATGTGTCAAACTTGAATTAAACCTTTGGCCTATAACTACGAGTCTAACTCGTGGTAAAGAATTTGTGTAATAAACAAAATTTACGAGTCTGAGTCGTGGTGAGGAATTTGTGCATAAAATTTCGCGTATTAGAACAAGCGATTGGAGTTATTCTACATCGAATATTTTTCCTTTGATTGTAACGTCAGTATTTTTTTTTTCAGTTTCTGACGAAACTGGATGATCTGTTACTTCAGTTTCCCGTAAAGCTTCGTTACGTTCACACGTTTCAAATATATTTTCGTATAAAGAATTAAAAAACTCTTACAACCCTCATGCAATTATTTTTGTCAACTGATCAATTGACTATGATTACACCCTAGACGTCTTAAAACTACTAACATTGTTTATTATTTCCCAATTCCTTTCGTTACACTGAAATATATATGTCATGAAAAGTTTACATTTTGCGCTAGTTCGTGTACACTGCTGAACTGTTGAATGGCACGGCGCGCGACCGACCTTTCTTGTTTACTATAGCTCGCGCAATAGGCAGATATCGTGTAGGCTAAGGGGTTAATTATTATTTTATATATTATTATTTTGATGTTGGAAAATTTCGTGCTTCAAGCATACTTTCTTTCGTGCCACATTATGTGACACTGCGTTAAGCTATTTTATCATTAACCATGCATATTTTCTTATAAGCTGCTATTTCGGAAAATGCTTTACTAATAAACGAGTATAAGATCTTCAGTCTGTTTTTCATGGTATAGCATTAATCAGCTGTTCAGAAATATTATATGGGATTCTTAATTATAACTTTATTTCTTTTACCTAAGTTTTAGCAGTGCGTTCTTTTATCATAGTACTAAAATATCGGCTATTTATACGTCTCAGAATAATTTACGTAAATATTATTTAATAAAGTATTCCTAATGAATGATCTAGCTTCTAGCTGAATGAGCTTTTTTGTTTTTTCTCATATATGTGTAACATGAATACGAGCTAGTTTCCCACCCAAAATCCTTCACAAAGTTATCGTTTCTAACAAAGAAAGTTATCGAATATATTCACCTCGAAACGTTCATGAGGGATCTAGAACGTAAACAAAGTATTGCATTTTGCAGACCCTACTTTGATACTTTGTTAACAGGCCACCTCAGCATGCTTTGATGATTTGGTTGGATATTCTGGTTTACAGCATGAATTAATGCCGCTGTTACCAGAGCTTATCAGAGAATCCCACGAGGGTACTGGCACATAAGGGCTCATCAAATTGGCCTACACAGTCAAAAATAAGAAAACAATAAGACGCATTGTCTCTGAAATCTCACTGACAGCGTCAGCAGGAACTCTATCCCTCTATTAATGGGCACCTCAGCTAACCCCGATAAGTGTAAACTTCAAGTGGGATACAACAAATGAAATCCTCCGATAAGAAATTGCGTGTAAAGTCGCCCACAAGCTTTGGAACAAGGTTTATAAAGTAAAACGCGCGCCTGCAATTTTTGTAGCCACGGCTTTCTAAATATACTGTGTCTATGGTTTTCAAGATCGTTATGTGATAAAGCGCATTTAGGGAAATGGCATGGATGCAATATGGCAATGACTGTTGCTTGAGAAATGTGTTACAAGACAGGAATTTTCGCCAGCTAACAAAGAGTGCCATAGAATAATAAATGTATTAAACAATTAGCTAAATGGCTTGTAATTCCTATATTGCGATGCAAATGAGTAGTAAAAATGGCGCAGTTTCATCCAACAGACGTCATATTTCCAACTTATATTTTGCAAAAACCGAGTACGCGAATATTTGCTTACTATACGGTTAAACTATATAGTACGCGAATAGTTTAACAATATCTAAGAAGCGAAAATT